TTTTCCCCTCAAGTTCTTCCAAAGTTTTGGTTTGATATAGTAGACTTGCTCCTTTAACCAATTCCAAAGAAAAATGTCACAAGTTTTTTAAGTTAGGGCAACTGGCTGGCCACTCATACATAAAACAGGGAGTTACTTTTCAATCCCCCTGTAGATGTCGGTATTAAATAACCCACACAGGTAGATATACGACTAAACCAAATCAAACCAACAAACCAATCTTGGGAAAGACATGAATTCATTTTCGCGTCCCCAGCAGAGTCGACATTAGCTTTGTTTACCAGCCATTTTGGGATTAATATTCTGTTGTTTTGTGGAGAGAACTTTGTAGAATGCAACTGGAAATCATAGCAGTTCTTAGATAATAAATAAAACGAGTTTGTGGAACGATATGGTCAGCTATTGTTGTTCATGATGACAGTCGTCTTCGAGTATAGAATCCAGAGGTTAGCAGTGAATATTTCGAAGACAGTAGGGAAGCGTAGTTCAGGTTATCAGTGGATATTTTGGTAAAAGTAGCAGAGCGTAGTTCGTCCTTCTGGTTCTCCTCGCCTGACAAGCTGGACTGGACATTCGGCTAGAGTAGACAAAATGTCCGCCTTTATACACGACGGATTGAGTGTTCTACGTCTTCTGATTGGTTAACCTTCTATTGATGGACTATAAAGTAAGTCAAGTCATTTGGGCTAACTCACTAGTTACATATATACACAAAAACTGCAACAACTATGTCCTAAAAGGACATGGCACTAAATAATTACAGTATACGCAAAAAGACGCTACGCTAAAGAAAAAGTCTCCGGATATAAGCCAACCACAGAACAAATTACCACTGATTGATGTAGTATTTCTCGCTAGATATATATTTTAGTCAATATATTATTGCTTTATTTTAAAAATGAACGTGAGATTCAAAATTGCCAAGGTTATAATAGATGATTAACAATTATTGCTAAATCTATTTACCCCCTTGTGCAAATTAATTGAAACACCAGCTTTAGTTTCCTTTCTTTAATCATTCAGTCAGTTCTAGACCCACAAGAGTTTATTTTATACTCAGAGTAGGTCATTTGCAGTGGTAGGCACTAAGATGAATCTATTTTCGGGGTGTATGATGAAATATGTTTGGCCTTGAAAAATATTGCGTCATCAGTGACGCCCAGACACTATTGTCTCGACTGTCGATTAGTTATCCTACAGCCATTGTATTCGATGGACGTTAATCCAAGGAAGCTTACGAAAATTGTAACGCTGCACGAACACAACGGCAAGCCTTACCAGTGAGCCAATTAAAGTACTATAGACTAGCCAGGAAACTCTTCCGATTTAAATCTAATCGAGAATCTGTGGTCAATCTGCAAGGAACGACTTCATAGAATGGACATATAAATTACTAACCTGTGCACTGGATCATGTTTCATTGGAAAAATACCAAAAAAGTAAATAATAACGGAATTATTCGTTTTGTTGCAATTAATTTGAAGAAGGGTGTGGTTGATCATGGCTCTCCACAGTTTCCTGTATAATTAATTTACACAAGGGTGTAATTCAAATTCCAAAAATCTGTCTTATTTCGCATACTTAACAGAGACTTTATTTAAATGAGACGATCGGCGAGTTAAAAAAATATGAAGTCAGAATGTACACTCTTTACATTATTCGGACTATTGTCCTCATCTTTGTCGCCATATTTATTACAACGTTTCGGCCGTTGTATGCTCCGGTCTTCTACAACGGTGAAACCTTGTAATAAATATGGCAACAAAGATGAGGACAATAATCCGAATAATGTAAATAGTGTACATTATACCTCATCTCAGAAATATAGACAGATACTGAAAGGCCGAAACGTTGTAATAAATATGGCGACAAAGATGAGGACAACAGTCCGAATAATGTAAATAGTGTACATAATACCTCATCTCAGAAATATGGGTAGATACTGAAGTAAGAATGATATAAAAATAACAGCTTTTCTGTCAGTTGTTTACAACCGTTTTCTCGTTGAGCGAATGGTGCCTTTAGGTTTGTTCGAGGAGTATCCTTCTTCGAAGCATGTGGAGTGACGCTACAGAATCACAAACAAATAGTAAAAACAAAATCACTTTCAATGACTAAAGCGGATAGCCTATGTAAATCGAAGGGAAAATAATGACATAATCAAGATAATGACATCAACACGACGTCAAACAACAAGAACGGAAGGAAACTCCCATCTATACTAGAAAGGGCAGTAAAAATAACTGGAAACAAGAAAACTATTTTCCAGATAAATTGTTTCAATAGAAGAACTCTGTAAATTGCAACAGGCAGTAGCAATGACTTCTCAGTCAAAGAAAGTTGAATGTTTCCTTATAAGAAAACGGATAAGGGTACCGGTGGCGTCGTTTATTTTTGTTGCAATGATAGAATTCTAAATTGTTATAAATTTAAGATTTTTCTAAAATACGATAATTATGATATATTTCTTGAAAGATAATATCTAAAATTCAGAGCTATTATGTTTATTATAGAATTTGCTCTCGTATAGAGGTCCCCGCGTGCACAGATTCCAAAATAAGGTGTGAATCAATATCACTTAGATCAAGTCTTCGTACACGCTGCATATTCGCTTTGGGCGTTAGTAATTAAGTCTTGATACGATCGTACAGCTTGAGACTATCATCCTGTAATACATTATTTCAGGTCACTTGCATCTGTGGGTGCAATCATGCAAGAGTTGTAGGTGGGTTAACTGAACAAGTTAGTCGTCGTCTCAGGATGTTTTTTTTTTTTACACCTACAATGTTTAACCGGTCTGGCGAACATAACGGCCAACTTTTGTTGTCGAAGATATTGCAGAATACATCACAGGCATCATGTGGTTGGGCATTATCCTGCTGGAAAAGCACTCACGCATACAAATACATTTCTGTGTATGAATGCATTTAATTAATATGAACATATGTGCATATGCATATTTGCATATGCTGAAGTATACAAGATATATCTGTGTGTTGTTCAATCTCATTATCTCTCTCTATCTGTCTGAGTTTCAAATAGACGGGCTAGAACGGTTATTCCTTTTTGGATAAAATTCCTCGCTGGCCATACTCATTCCAATGACCCCTTTTATTAACTTCCCAGGATAATTTCTTCTACTATTTAATTTAGACTGCCAGCATTCTCGGACAAAGCGTTTTACGACGGAAAATAATAATAAAAAATCCAGTAAATACTTTTAGTCCAATTACACCCTTTATTCGAAACTAAAGTCTGTCGGTCTGTCTATCTACAGAGAGTTGTATGTATACATTTCAATAGATAAATTCTAATCTCATGATGGATTATGCATAAATATGTCAGAGTATACTAAAAAGTTCCCGACTCGACTAAAAAGGAATTCCATCTATCTATCTATCTATCTATCTATCTATCTATCTATCTATCACAGTCATTTCACATACATCTATCTATCTATCTATCTATCTATCTGTCATTTCACATCTATCTATCTATCTATCTAATTCTGTTAATCTATCTATTTCTCTATCTATTTTTATACGTATGATCGTGCATATATACGCTATCGATTGATTGATTTTTGTTTTTTACGGTTTATCAACTTTTTGTGGTTATTTTGAAGCTGAAACATTTAACAAACAAATGTTTCTTTTAATGTTAACAATATTTTGAGAACAACAATAATTTTGTCCATACAAATTTTGCTATTTAACCCATGATTTGAAGGTAGAGATATATTCATACCTTTACTAAGAGTATTTGCATGTTATTGGAACTCAAATTTCGTATTCAGAGCTGTTATCCATTACACCATCCGAACATTCACATATCCGCGCTGATAATATATACCTATTACATATTCGACTCTCCCGTCGAATTCGACGTATGAGGATCAAGCAGATCAGTTCCTAGGAAACTGACATACGACAACAGCACATGAGATTTGATTATAGTGGTGAATGGTTTCGTGCAGGACCATCCACACTTTTTGAAGGGCCGAATACAGAAACTTAGTGCACTACGTGCCACAAGGTCCCCAAACGACCCTCCACAGGTTTTGAATTCAGAGTTTTTCCTTCTCCTAGACCTGTTGCCATTCAGGCTATAGAACCCGGTCTGTCCTGCTATTTATCCATAGCTGGAGGGAGAAGAAGAGGATTCACACCTTTCCCAAGGTAACTGGAATTCGAACTCGGCTCTCAGATTCCTCAATCCAAGCCGTTCTCCATTACTCCACCGTGCATCCTATCTATCTATCTATCTATCTATCTATCTATCTATCTATCTATCTATCTATTAGCTTTTGTATTTTTACATGAGAGTTCATGTATGTGTAGATGTCACCATATGTATAGAACCACGGGCATTGGGCTTTTTTTTCTCTCGATCTCATTAAATACACACTCACGCTCACATGATCGTTTATCTTACTTTTCCTTTTAAGAAACTGCTTCCCACCTTTTTTATTTTTTTCTTCTAACCTTTCAAAGCGAAATCCGCTTTTGTGTTACGCTGGTGAGTTCCAGGTTAGAAGGTAACGGCTTAGCGTAGGGATTATTCATCACAAGGAAAAGTAATAGACACGTATAAAAAATTACCTGTCGACAAAGAAGTCGTGGTACCTGACAGATATAACAATAAAAACAGCATGTAATAAGAGAAAACGAAAGCAATGCAGCAAGGAACTCACAGAAATTGACGTTTAAGAAGAAAGCAAGCATTAATATTTCCCCTTCATATTTAAACGCCAGAACAACTTGGTCAACAATCTTTTTTTCCTTGTTATTCTCGTTGTATTCCTTCATTTTTTAAAATTCTTTTCTTGTTTTTTTTTTTATTTCTTGATGTTATTTTGTCCTTATTTTTTCTTCTTTTCTTTCCTCTAATTCTTTTCTTTCTTATTTAAATTTGAATTCTTTTTCTACGTTTTTTAATGTATATTTTTTCTTATTTATATTCTACTTTTTTGTTTGTTTGTTGATTCATTTCTTTCTTCGATGTTTTCATTTTCTTCTTCATTTTCTTCATTTCTTCCTTCCATTTCTTTCTCTTTCTTATTCTTCGTTTTTTTTCATTTCCTTTACTTGTGTTGTTCTTTTCTTCACTTGTTTTTTGCTTATCCTATTTTTCTCTTTCCTTTTTTCTTCATTTTCTTCTTCTTTTTTGTTGTTTTTTATTTATTTCTTCCTTGTGTTATCTTCATTTTCCTTCGTTCTTTTTTGTTGTTTTTTATTTATTTCTTCCTTGTGTTATCTTCATTTTCCTTCGTTCTTTTTTGTTGTTTTTTATTTATTTCTTCCTTGTGTTATCTTCATTTTCCTTCGTTCTTTTTTTTGTTTTTTATTTATTTCTTCCTTGTGTTATCTTCATTTTTTCGTTCTTTTTTTGTTTTTTTATTTTTTTCTTCGTTTATTTTTTCCTTCGTTCTTTTTTGTTTTTTTTATTTATTTCTTCCTTGTGTTATCTTCATTTTCCTTCGTTCTTTTTTGTTGTTTTTATTTATTTCTTCCTTGTGTTATCTTCATTTTCCTTCGTTCTTTTTTGTTGTTTTTTTATTTATTTCTTCCTTGTGTTATCTTCATTTTCCTTCGTTCTTTTTTGTTGTTTTTATTTATTTCTTCCTTGTGTTATCTTCATTTTCCTTCGTTCTTTTTTGTTGTTTTTTATTTATTTCTTCCTTGTGTTATCTTCATTTTCCTTCGTTCTTTTTTGTTGTTTTTTATTTATTTCTTCCTTGTGTTATCTTCATTTTCCTTCGTTCTTTTTTGTTGTTTTTTATTTATTTCTTCCTTGTGTTATCTTCATTTTCCTTCATTTTCCTTCGTTCTTTTTTCTTTGTCTTCTTTGATTCTTTCTTGCTTGTCTTCTTCATTTTGCGCCTTTTTCCTTGTCTTCTTCATTTTCTTTCTTTCTCTCTTTTTGCCTCATTTTACGTATTTTTTGTTTTTTTTCCTCATTTTACGTATTATTTGTTTTCTTCATTTTACGTATTTTTCCTCGTTCTCTTCATTTTCTTTCTTTTTTCCTTGTCTTCTTTATTTTATATCTTTCTTTTTCTTTTTCTTCTTCATTTTCTTTCTTTCGTTTCTTTCTCCTTGTTTTCTTCATTTTTTCTTCTTTTTTATTTTCTTTTGTTCGTTCTTTCTACTCTAGTTCTTTCTTTCTTTCTTTCTTTCTTTCTTTCTTTCTTTCTTTCTCCGTGTCTTCATGTTACTTTTTCCTTGTCTATTTCCTTATCTTTCTTTCTTTCTTTCTTTCTTTCTTTCTTTCTTTCTTTCTTTCTTTCTTCAACTGTTACCACTACATCAGAATCAATGAATAATCATATATCTAGCGTTTGATTTTTTTTCCTTTTCAATTATGCTCATTTTTTATTCCTTCATTTTTCAATGCATTTCCTCTAAAACCGTTTATTATTATTATTATTATTATTATTATTATTATTATTATTATTATTATTTTCGGTGGTTTTTGCCTACTTGTCCATTATTCATGTTTTGCTCAATTTTTCCTTATCTACATTCATTCTCATTCTTTCGTTCTATCTGCGGTTTACGGCCAGAGGACCTTTCTACCACCAACCTAAACAACCCAGGAAGTGCGCTACATACGGGAGAAATTAAGATCAAAGCAGGTGCAGAAACCTATCTATCCTACTGGCATAGTAATAACGTAGGTAAGAATGGCACAGAAATCGAAAGGCGCATACAAACGGCGAAAAAATGTTTTTGTTTTCCAGAAAATAAGCAAAGCGTTTAAAGATAAGAAAGTAGCGTTGGAAAGAAAATGAGTATCGAACTGATATGTAAAATCTAATCTCCTATATAGTAATGAATACTGGGCATTCTCTTTACAGGGACTTGAAACGACATAGATATAGTTCTACCAATAAATACTGAGAATGCCATAGCCAGAAAATGAGAGCAATGTGGATGTTTAAAAAATACAGGAACCACAAGAAAAATTATAGACATTTTTCAAAATGAAGAAGGAAAGTCTAGATAATTTAACATTCACAGGAAACGGCGAATGCAAAAAACAGGTTGAATCAGTGGGTAAGCTACTTAATGCAAGAAACAGGGTGAATCAGTGGGTAAGCTACTTAATGCAAGAAACAGGGTGAAACAGTGGGTAAGCTACTTAACGTTTTTTAAGTGACTGATTGATAGAACAGAGACAAAAGAGTTATAGTGAAGTGTCAAAAGTTCAAGCAAAAAAAAACAAAAACAAAAAACAAAAAAAAACCCAAAACGCAGGAGATTCGTCATGATTCCTTCCGTTCTAAACGGACATGGGACATATAAGAAAAATAAAGGACTATTTTGTATATTTATTAAGCCATTCACCGGCGTAGACGTGTATATACGTTTTTAGCGAAATAGTCCTTTTCAGACACGGACGAATAAACACGTCCAAAAGGTAATGTTCAAAAACCATCAATAGACGTGTTTATACGTCAATCTTGATTCTTTCCATGCCCTTCTGATTTGGAAACGAGTCCAATTGTTAACTCATACGTCTGGTAGAGGTGTTAGCCATCGCTCAAAAACTTCAAGGTGCTCAGTTTCTTAGTATATTAAAAACAAGTAAACAAAAGATAAAATCGTCTGAAAATGAACCGTTTTTTCCAAAATAATTGGCGAGCAAGGGAGGTAACTCCAATTTTAAAAGATTTCTTGTTGATGTTTTTTGCGTGTTATTCTGCTGTTGTTACGCTTCCTTGTGTTAACACTATTTTTATTAGTACGCGTAAGAAAACGACAAGCCAACAAAGTGAGGTTAGATTTTACAAGTATACTCATCATGGCACCCAGTCTGATAAAAGTATAGCAGGCACATGCATCACAGCCAAATATACGTGATATATCTTCAGGGATTGATAAAAGCAGCATATAGCATAGAAAATTGACTCTACTTAAAACACCTTCAGGTCCGCTAACCGAATCCATTCAGAGTGTCTCCGATTGAAGATGTTCCGAAATATCTTGATGTTGCATTTCAGTCGCCATTGCTGTCACATCCTTCAATCATAAAAAAAAACTCTCGATATCCAGTAATCCCTCCACTACATCCACTCCTGAAAAGAGATCCCTAGTGCGTCAGACTTGAGGAGATATGACCAACTGATTACGTTCAGGCAAACGACAAACAAATCCGCAGTATTGAACCGAATATTTACTGTGGCTCATCTTAATTCAGCAAAATAAAATATGTCCATGTTAATTCTTCCAATCAGTAAAGATTAGAAACCATGAACATCATGCCTGGTGAAGCAATAGGATATTTATTATTATTATTATTATTATTATTATTATTATTATTATTATTATTTCCTTTGATTTCTGTTGTCTACTCATTTCTTTTCGGGTCCCAACCAGAGACATAAGCACATAAATGGCATCATGATATTTTCGATGAATTTCTTTGTAAAAAAAAAATTAAAAAAAAAATAAAACTAAAACAAACGATCACACATATTTTATATAGATTTATAAAGTGTACGTTGTACTTGTGAAAATATGTTTTGCATTTCTTTATGGCATGTGTTTCCAGGAATTCCGTCCGTGTTTCTATCAGAACCTTTTCTAATCAAACCGAGGAATCCAACCACAACTGGAATTATTGATGTCTTCGATACTTCAAATATACAAAGCAACCATTCGCCCTTGCATGGAGTAATGCTGCCATATATGGTCTGGGGCACCTTCTGTTTACCTCGGAGTTCTTGACAAGATCCAGAGACGGATATGTAATATAATTGGCCCTGATCTGGCATCTCGTCTACAGTCGCTCTCTCACAGACGCGCCGTCGCATCTCTCTGTCTTTTTTACAAATACTTTCATGTTAATTTCTCCGCTGAGCTGCTTTCACTGGTTCCCAGACTCCATGAATTCAAGCGCCCTACGAGGCTGGCATCCCGCTCCCACCCTTACACTATAGAAACTTTTATATGTAGCCGTTTCTTCTACTCCAATAGCTTCATACCTCGCACCTCTCGCCTGTGGAACACCCTTCCCAATTACTGTTTCCCTGAAAGCTATAATCTCCAATTATTCAAATGTAATGTCAATCGACATCTCCAGTTACCTTGATCTATTCCCTATCCTTCTCCTCATCCTTTCTTCTATCACTCCTATCTGCTCTCGCTCCAAATCTTCTGCAACCCCCTGCATCCTAGTGGCTTCACGCCTTGCTCGGGGCGTAATGCTTAAAAAAAAAAAAAAAAAAAAAATTGTACCACATTTTTAAGATTTCCAATTTAAGATTCTTGAATTTTGAAAATTATTATTATTATTATTGACGTATTCAGTGGAAATTCGGTATTTGAGGCATGGAATCTATAAGACTACTCGCAGAAGAAATGGTGCTAGTTTTCTAGATGTTTACAATCTTATTCTCAATTTTCAGATGGTGTTTCAAGTGCACCAAATTACTACAGGAATTTCTTTTAAATATCATGTTCCAAGGCCTTTTCAACCGTCTTGTTCTATAGCTTATCATCATCATCTTCCTCTTCTTCTTCTTCTTCTTCTTCTTATTATTATTATTATTATTATTATTATCATCCATCATTTGTTACTACCATTATTATCGCAGTAGCACAGTAGTGTGTTGTTTTCCTCAGTAGGTTGTTTACTGATTACACATCTCTTCAGGCGAGTAGGCGATTGATATAAAATAATTTAATTTTAACACAGACATACATGCACTCACATACATGGGCGCATTGTCATTAGTAATTCTTCACTCCGATGTTAAAATAAAAAAAAAAAACTTACTCATCAAATATTCAAGTCTGAACGTAAACTATTTTAAATAGAATAAAAAATGTAATATAATAATAATATAAAATATTAATTACATAAGTAAAACATTGTACAGTGAAATTTTCATATGGAAAACCAACCACATGTCAGGCAACAAATGTGTTTCTACACTCTCATATATAATATCCGTATTGATTAATCTAACGTTACAACACCGGCATTATCGCTAAAAGAATGATTGAATGATACCCCTGTGTTTAATGATGAATGCACACACAATAATCATGCAAGTGATAGTCGATTGCGAGGGCAACGTAGAAGGAACATCAACCGTTGGTATCATGATTTCGGCTTGCACTAACTTCCAACACACATTTGCCTTTGATGTGTATGGAAGGAAGATTGAACGGCGCCACGTGCATCTAGAAAATTATACAACCCTATCTGTTACCATCCTTATTCCAGCAGGATAATTCCCGCTCACATGTTGTCCATGTTACTTAACATTGCAAGTTTGGTCTGATAGAAAAACTTGTCACAAATTGATCAGGTATGAAACATGATGGGACGACACCTGACTCATTCACTTAGCCCGCCTACAACTTGGTGTATTGTGTCAACAGGCGAGAGAGTCGGGGAATGATGTATTACAGAAGTATATTTGCCATCTCTATGCGAGTGTACAGTTTTGCAGTGGCGCCAAATATGGCTATACACGGAATTAGATTGAGGTATGATCACTGTTGATAAATGCTTTATTTTGTAATCATTACATCTTTGATCTGTATATGTGATCATTTATTGAAATCTAGTGATATTACCCGTCATTCCCATATTCAGGGTGTTAAAATTTTATTACACACACACACACACACACACACACACACATATATATATATATATATATATAAATAAAGAGAAAGAACAGTCAGATTAATAATCCACAATTATCTAGCATATATTTTTTAAAAAAATGCTCAACACAAAGTATAGCATAATATTATTATTTAGAATATTTAAAAAAATATTTTATCATCGCGATACGGAAGTTTCTTTGTTTCTGAACTTGTTATGGTCCGGTTCCTTGTACCACGGTGAGAGTCCAAGGTAGAACCAATAAAGAAGAACTCGAACAAGTATATGGAATAACACAGATATATTACAAACAGGAATATATATAGAGAAGTAGAAAGTGCTAGTACGAACAATCAGGTTTAGTAGTAATTGTCTGAACGCGACTCTGTTTCGGACTGCCTCTGACTCGACTGACTGACTCGCTCCCTCTGACTGACTGACAGACTCCTGGCGGACTTCTGACGGACCTAACTCCGAACTTCAGACTGAACTCCCTGCTTCCTCTTGAGGCGCTGTATTTATTACGTATGGAATAGTCCATTATGTTATTAAGGGTAAAGTCCCCTAACAGATCTGAAGATTAAAATTTATGTTCCATTTTCAAGCGATCCTGAATAACTTCAGAAAAAACTGATTTACTTTTGCAAGCGAAGTAGTATTATATTGAATTGATGGGAGGAGGTATGAGATTTCTAAATTTTATTATAGTTGTTGGCTT